TTAAGCACTAAAAACAAACAAAAATTAACAACTTCTAAGAAATTAAATGAACAAACCTAAATTTAGGAAAATAATGACAATAGCAAATATCACACAGAGCTAATTCCCATTTTTACTATAATTTATTCCTCCTTAAAATTCAAACACGATGTTGTTCCTTGTACATAGTAGTAGTATATTCTACAGGCAAAATCTTTTTTCTATACTATTATATATTATCTCTCTTTACAATATTATTTATATCAAGAATTCAAAAAAGACATCAACTTCATATTAAACCAGTTTTATTTTTACTTTTTTTCTATAGTAATTTTTATTGCTTCATCAAGAATATATATATTTTTTTATCCTCACCCGAGGACATCTTTCCATTTTTTGTTCAGGTAGAGTGGGAGAGAGAGAGAGGAACAGAGAGAGAGAGAAACATCAACACGAAAGGGACACATCGAGTGGTTGCCACCCGTATGACCCAACCAGGGCCAGGAACAAACTGCAACGGAGGTATGTGCCCTTAGCCGGAACTGAACCCGGGTCTCTCCGCACCGCACACCCATGCTCTAACCCCTGAGCAAAACTGGCCAGGGCAAACCAGTTTTAAATACCAGACAAATTATCCTTTTCTTTCCCACCATTTTTGTTTCTAATCTTAGGACAATCCATAGCTCCTCTGCCTCTACCAGAAGACTAAGAGACTAAGAAAGAATATTAAGCTCAATTAAATCCATTTTAATAAATGTCTCATCAAAGTATACTTTTTTTGTTATTTAAAATTTTGTCTCAGTTTACAGAGCAAGCTCAGAAAGGAAGGAAGCTAAAATAAAAGTGTTAATAGAAAGGAGGAAAATTTGAAGACAGCAAGTCACAGAAGTGATCCTAGAAGAATCACAGCCAAGGCCAGACTCCAGCAAAAGGCAGGGTGCAGTAAAAGTAATATCACAAGTCAGAGATTCAGAGCAAATGATATATCTTGAGTCACCCAACCATCAGGAATTTATCTGTAGGCTGGGGCAAAACAGACAGTTTTCTAAAAATGAGACATCTATCTATGGAGAGATGTCAAACAACAGTGAGTTGTACTATTAATAAAGCAAAGATACATAACAGTATGCAGACTAAGCTACCATTTGTATTATGAAGAAAATGAGAGATATAGGCTTGTATATGTATAAAAGGTCTCTGGAAGAAGACACAAACTATGTAACAGTGATTGCCTGTGAAAAAAGAGACTTATTTTGTTTCTTTTTGTACTCCGTTTTTTTAAAAACACAAGCACATATCACTTATTCCAAAAAAGAAAAAATCTAATCAAATTAATTTACAAATCAAGCAGACTGAAATAAAGAGCTATCAAAGGTAAAGAAGGATTTGTAATTTAAAGCCAGAAAAACAGGTCAAAGCGCCTGGCTAGTGTGGTTCAGTGGACTGAGCGTCGTCCCATGGACTGAGAGGTCCTGGTTTAATACCTGGTCAGGGCACATACTGGGGTTTTGGGCTCCATCTCCAGTGGTGGGGCAGGCAAGAGGCAGCCAATCAATGTTTCTTTTTCACATGGATGCTTCTCTCTCTCTCTCTCTCTCCCTAAAAAAAAAATCAATAAAATTATATTTAAAAATTGAAAGAAGAGAAAAAAAAAAAAACAGACCAAAGCAAAAGCTGAAGTGTGAGGCAAAGAGAATGGGTCAAAACTGGTCATGCAGTCAGTATGCACACATGGAATTGGTGGGCCTAAATAAAAATGAGTCAACTCCTTCCTCAGCCTTTTATGAACTTCCAGCTTGGGTAGGAATTAATACCAGGTCACAGACAGCCCAGTGCAGGCAGGAGAGGTGAGTCACTTAAATAGAGATGATACCATAGCTGGAAACAATTATCTGAGCTTGAAGATAAAGTCAGATATCCTAATAATAATAATAATAAACTACCGTCCAACCTGGCTTAGCCTCTGTAGGCTTAACAAGAGCAAAAGCATGGACTTCAGAGTTCTACCTTCAACTATCCGTCAGATATGTCACAACACCATGATAGTCCTTTTTTTTTAATCCTCACCTGAGGACATTTTTCCATTTTTTGTTTAGATAGAGTGGGAGGGAGATAGAGAGAGAAACATCGACGTGAAAGAGACACATCGAGTGGCTGCCACCCACACAACCCAACCAGGGTCGGGGACAAACTGCAACCAAAGTACATGTCCTTAGTGAGAACCGAACCCGGGTTTCTCTGAAACCGCAGGCCGACAGTCCAACCACTGAGCCAAACTGGCCAAGGCCCACCATGATAGTTCTTTAAACGCAATTTATATGACCCAGCTGTATTGCAAAGAGATGAGTTACTGAAGGCAGGCTAGGGAGTAGAGTGGGACTGGGAAGAACTTGCAAGAATCTCAGGATGGGAAGCTTTCAGTCAGCCACAGCTTCAACACCTTGGTGCTAAAGGAGAGCTACCTAAGGAGACTTTAGATTATCCAGATATGTAAGAGATTAATATCTAGAGGAAATTAAAATTGCTTAGCTATAAGACACATTAATGAAGTAAAAAATTTCTCTTTAAATCTAAAATTAGTTCCTTTACACCCATAAGCATATTTCTAAATCACCTCTAATTTAAATTATTGGTATTTAAAGAATTAAAATTATAGTATTTTCACAGTTTTTCTAAATAAAAAATAACTCAGACGGCAGATTTAATGAGGACATTTTTAAATTAACATACTACAAATTTTGCAATCCTTTTTCTTTAGCTTAGACAGTAAAGAAATGACAAACACAGAAAACAGATATGACCACAGTACAATGAGGAAACAAATAATTTCATTTTTAATAGTCATCTTTCAAAGTTAAAAAATATATACTTTTTGGTCCTGGCTGGTTTGGCTCAGCGGTTAGAGCATTGGCCCATGGACCAAACAGTCGCAGGTTCAATTCTGGTCATGGGCACATACCTCAGTTGCAGTTCAGTCCCCAGCCATGGTTGGGTCATGCGGGAGGCAACCAATTGATGTCTCTCTCTCACATCGATGTTCCTCTCTCTCTCCTTCCCTCCTCCCACACTAACTCAAGATAAACAGAAAAATATTCCCAGGTGAGGATTAAAAAATACACACACACACACACACATATATATACTTTCTGAATATACAACCTTGCTGAAAAGGTATTTTTTTACAAGACAAAGCATTTATAAATGAACCAACTCTAACTTCTTAATCAAATAACACTATAATAAACTGAAGCAGAAAATAGCCTTATTAAATCCATATTATGAATTTTTAAAAAGCAAATATTAATAAATATGAGAAGCCATTACCTTCATTTCCATGACATAAGAACAAAAAGAAATTTTATCTCTATACTAAAAGTAGCTAACAGAAACTTATTACAAACAGAAACTAACCATTCTTCTGTTAGGCCAGAAATATATTTAAAAACAATCCCTAATAACTAAAATTTTAACTGTATTTACCATAGGAGAATTTAACCTATTAATTACTATCAATTAGCCAAGGGTAATTATCAAAAGTAAAATAACAACAAAAAACACTCTTAAATAGGTTATACCTCCAATCAACCTGAGCACAGTCATAAGGAATATACTCAATACTTACTGGATTAAATATACATAAAAACAATGCCATGAGGACTACAGATGATAAGTTTAAAAAATGGATCTTAAAAGAGTAAAAAAAAAACAAAAAAACCCTTTTTATTTAGATTAAGAAATCATTTATTTCTTAGAATCCTAAAATAAACCAAATGCATGCCTTTTCCCTTTACAATGTTTTAAAAACAAGCACATCAAAAAAATTATCATCAATACAAAACATGTAGTTGCATATAAATGATCTTTTCCTTTGAAACTCGGTATTTTTCATTAAAATAAATAATATAATTTAATATTTATCTTAATTTCATTAAGCTAAATAAAATAATAACAAAAGATATTCTAATCCTTTAAGTGTCCATCAGTTATCCATCATGTGTGTTTGCTTGTTCATATATGACTCAAAAATCTGCAATGTCAGAGAAGCCAAATTCACTTGATGGACAGTGGATCATAAGAATCACAGCAACTTAAGATCTTACTGATAACACAGGAGGAATTCTAACAGTTCTCAATCATTGATATGTAGTAAGCAACATCTATTTTAAAGCACTGAATTGTAAGTGCACAAATACATTTATATATCTAGTTATTATTATAATCTAATAGAAAGAAAAAACTAAACAAAAGTATCTGAAGACATCAGGGCTAAAATAAGTCTTTTTTCTATCCTGTGCTCTATTATAGATATTCAAACTCATGGAGTTAGGGTTAAGCAGAATGAGTCACAAGATGATAAAGTAATTAACCTAGGACAAGTGACAACTCAGACATTCTGAGTATATAATCCACTCTTCCAAAACTTATAAAGACCCAGTATAATCTGTTGTTGTTGTTGTTGATCCTCATCGAGGCTATTTTTCCACTGATTTTTTAGATAATAGAGTGAAAGGGAGGGAGGGAGAGAAACACCCATGTGAGAGAGATTCATTGATTGCTTGCCTCCTGCACTACTCTCTGACGGGGGCCAGAGATGGAACCTGCAACCCATGTAGGTGACCTTGACCAGGAATCAAACCTGAGACACTTTGGTCTGTGGGCCAAACTCTAACCACTGAGCCAAACCAGCCAGGGACCAGTATAATTTACTACGGACCTTTGAGAGTCTATAAAGAACATGTCAAAAAATAACAATGAATCTTTAAGAGGAATCAGCAGATATATCACATAATGTATTTCTTTATACTATACTAAATAAGTTTATTTTAAAATCAATATATAATAGTATTAAAAAAGAATCTCTAGATCACATATTTATTCACCCACTTGATTAAAAATATGGCATTAAAATATATTTTAAAACAGTGTATATGTTTTAATTTTTAAAAATTATTTCTAAAGAGTTACAGGTAGTTTTTAACTACTATGTGAAGATTGAAAAATACATCCTAAAACGTTCATACCTGATCGAAAGCACTCGATTATTTGTTGAATACCAGATTTAGATGTCTGTAGTGGTTGCTGTAACAAAGGAGCATCTCCAGGTTCCAGGATATAAACTATATGGAAGACAAACACCCACCCCAATCCCCACAAAAAAAGGTTATTTAAATCATTTACTGTTGAAGTAAAACAATGGTTTGCTGCAATCATGTAAATGGCAATCACACTTGTATATATTTCACCATCATCTTTGTAAGGCAAAATGAAATAATTGGAAAAAATAACTAAAGTTATTCTCAATTCAAGGCTAAAATAAGGCTAGTTAAGGCTGGACAATAAGTTTAAATGGGAAGATCTTATCCTGGTATTATTTAATACATATTCGTCATGTTTGCCTTTTTATTCCCCTTGAAGAGGAACCACTATATTTAACAAAAATTCTAGGGTAATGATGGTCCAACTGCACCTATAAACCATCCCAAAACCCTCTGGACAATCTAGCACAACTGTCTAGGCAACTGTGAGAGCAAAGCTGAAAAAACACTGCCTGAGGAAAGAACTGGTCGTGTGCACCGAGAGGTCACCAGTTGGATTCCTGGTCAGGACACATGCCAGGGTTGTGGGCCCAATCCCCAGTGGGGGGTAAGCAGGAGGCAGCCAATCGATGTTCTCGCTCATCGATGTTTCTATCTCTCTCTCCCTCTCCCTTCCTCTCTCTCTATAACCAATAAAGGAAAAAAAAAATTAAACATCAATACAGCGGAATCTCTGATGCTATTAGAAAGCATGAGCTAGATCTACATGTACTGACAACAAAGGATGTCAATAATAGATTATTATGCAACAAAAGCAGTTTATAGAATATGATCTCACTTATATTAATATATATTTCAATAGATACACAAAGAAACAAATTTAACATATATGTGTCTGTATAAACACAAAAAGTCTGGTGGGTCACCAACAAAATTTAACAAAGGTTCTGTTAAGGTGTGTTTTATGGGGACAATTTTCACTTTCTGTCTCACACTTTACTAGTACTTCAGAGCCTAGGCTTTCAAAAGTGTGCATTTGAGAAAGTATACATTTTTTATAATAAGTAATAATATTCCCATTTAAAAATTAAAATTTTGGCCCTGGCCAGTTTGGCTCAGCGGTTAGAGCGTTGGCCTGCGGTCCGGAGAGACCCGGGTTCGGTTCCCGCTAAGGGCATGTACCTCGGTTGCAGTTTGTCCCCAGCCCTGGTTGGTCGTGCAGGTGGCAGCCACTCGATGTGTCCCTTTCACATCGATGTTTCTCTCTCTCTCTCTCTCTGCCTCCTGCTCTATCTGAACAGAGAATGAAAAAGTGTCCTCGGGTGAGGATAAAAAAAATATATATATAAATTAAAATTTTGCCCTGGATGGTGAGAGAGTCAGCCCACAGACCAAAGAGTCTCGGGCTTGATTCCAGTCAAGGGCACATACCTCAGGTGCAGTTTAGTCCCTGGCCCTGGTCGAGGTTGTGTGGGAGGCAACCATTCAACGTGTCTCTCTCACATCAATGTTTCCCTCTCTCTCTCACTCTGTCTGAAGAGAAATGGGAAAATATCCTTGAGTAAAGATTTTTTTTTTAATTTAAAATTTTTATTTTCAAACAGAGATCATCCTTGCTTTCCAAAATTCTCAGATTAGTGGTATAACATGCAATAAATTAGATTATAGTAATATGAAGCAAGGTAACTGAAAAGAAAAACTGAATTTTCTATCAGATATCAAATAGAGATGGTCATGTTGAAGAAAAACTGTCCACTTTAATTGTCTCCTTTTTTTAATATTATAATGTTTTACTCAACAATTACCATGTTCACCCAGGATCATCTGCTCAGCATGGGGAGATAAGGAGGTTTACTTCAGTAATGTGTGCTGCTACTGCTTCAGTGCTTGGGCGTAGACAGCATTTAGCTCTCCGATAAGCAGACCCTGCTGTGCTATATATACAGACAAAGCCTTAGATTCTCTTTTAGGCTTGTGCTCAGTATACACAAATGGGAGGAACTATGTCTCAGGACCAAGTCATTTCATTAAGCAAAATTTTCCTAATTTTAAATGATACTTTAGGGGTATTTTAAATGAATTCAGAACATACACATGAATACAACTCATTTTGAGAACATCTGACACTGGCACTAACTGCATTAAGACTCCAAACCTGGACTGTACTGAAATTCTCTTTCTAGATACAACTAGGGCAAATTAAAATCTCTGATCTCTCTTTTCTCATCTCTAAAACGGGGATAATAAAAGTAAACTAAATCATAAGATTGTGTGAGGACTAAATTAGCTAAGAGGTAAACTGATTAAAACAGAGCCTGGAATATACTCAGTGCTCAATAAATGTTCTACCACTATCATCACCACCACCAGCATCACCATCACATGCAAATCAATTGCTTTCCTGACACCAAAAACTGAAATCTTTTTCAAAATCTAAGACAAGTAGAATTCAAACCTCTTGGAGAACCAATAACAGAAGTTTATAAATAGATCAGTGATACCATTAATCTGGATTAGATAGATCTCTTTGCAGTATTTGTACTTTATAACTGATAACTGTTTATAAAAAAAATAGAAACTACAAAAGAGAGGGTGAAACTGTATAATTGTAAAGAACTAAAAGCTTCAAGGTCTGGCTCTATAAGTGGCAAAAATTCTAGAAAGGGAGAACGAAAAACCAGTAATGAATAAGAGAGGAATAAAGGAAAACATGGAAATTTCTCCTTAGAACCCCCTTTCCTCATTTAGGTACATACTCCAGAAAACTTTCTATAATACATCAACTTTTACTTTCATTTGAAAACATCTGATTTTAAAGCTAAAACTAAATTTTGTTACCCATCACCTTCAAACACTGCTACCACCAGAACATATATACCTCCTGAGAGCATTCAAGATAACCTCAGGGTTAGTTTAGTTATGCAAGGACACTTCCACTTGTATACACATCTGTGGTTCCCATTTAAGAAACTGGTCTTTCTTCATTAATACAAAAAAACTTTATGTATTAATATTTCATAAAATTTATTCTTACATATCCAATCACCCCTCCCAAGATCAGGTTATATGACCACTTAGGGAAAAAAAAAACAGCACCTCCCTCCAACCAAAACCCCAAACCCTCAGAGGTTAGCATCTTTCTTTACATCCTTCCAAAAACACACTTCTAAAATAAAATACCTATTTTGTAGAGTGTCTCCTACCTTGAAACAAGCCTCTTAAAAGATCCTTCTACTTATGATGTCTGGGAGTTGTTTTCAAATAGAGAGTGGTGGAGCAGTTGGAGGGTGTAGAAGGAAATCATGGGGAGGAGAGACTAGACATGAAGATAGACTGTCCATACATCGATAACTGATGGGAGTTATGCAATGGATGTATCAAGTTCCTTATACAATTCTCTCTACTTTTGAATGTTTAAAAAATGTTATAGCAAAAAACATTCTTAAAACTTAACTAAAGTCCTGGTAGGTGTGGCTCAGTTGGTTGGAGTTGTGCTATATACACCAAAAGGTGACAGTTTAATGCCCTGTCACGGCACACACCCAGGTTGTGGGTTCAATCCATAGTCAGGTGAATATAGGAGGCAAATGATCAATGTTTCTCTCTCACATCCCTGGTTTTCTCTTTCTCTCTCTCCCTCTCCCTTCCTCTTTCTAAAATCGTAAAACATATCCTTCAGTAAGAATTTAAAAGATTAAATTTTTAAAAAATGTAATTAATACATACACTGACAGGCTTATAATACCATCCTTCACTACAAATTGACCCATCCTATCAAAGCCTCCTCAGAAATACAGTGCTCTCATCCAAGGAATTTACCCACTATTCATAATCCAAACCAGGACAGACCTCTCAGGAGAGACCATTATAAGAATTTTTCAAACATCATGTCATCTTCTATCATAATATGTTCCTCTCAGTACTGGCAACATCCTCCCACTCAGCACCTACCTTCCTCTGAAATAATGACAACTACCCACCCTGTAAGTTACTAAACTTCTAGCTTTCCACTGAACTAAATGCTCAGAAAGTGTTTAATTGCTATAACTAAGAAAGCAAAGAAATACCAACTACTTTTGACCTGCTAGTCTGAAACATAAACTGCGTGGAAAGCTTAGGGTACAGAAAGGTGAAATTTTTTAATTAGTTCAACTCATCTGATTTCTTGTTTATGGGGGAGAAAAAAGAATATTAAAAATTCCAATACACATTTAAAAGTTCAACTCTGGAAAGCATCTGTAAAAAGACACTAAGTTCTCTAGAAAACTTTAATTACTAGAATACACTAAGTAAGATATGGTCACAAATTATCCTCTTTTATTTGTTTATGTCTATCTCTTCCCACTTACAAATTCTATAAGGGGATGACCTTATCTGTTTCATTCACCACTTATATTCCCATTACGTGAACAGTGCCTAGCCACCTAACAGGTGCTCACTAATAACGTGTCAAAGAAATGAATCAATAAACTTCTTGAATAAGATGATTTCATTCATTCAACCTAAATGACTTGAAGTATTAAAAAACAAAACAAAACTAGAATAAAAGGTCAGTGGGATACAAGTATAAAAGGCATTCACAGCCTTCTACTTCAAAACTAGCAAACACTACCCAACATTTGCTAAAACATAAGTGATAGTATATCTTCACTTCAAATAAACAGAATATGCACTGTGGAAGGGCGCTGAAAGTTAGATAAGGGGGCAGGTGAACAGAAACTGGATCCCATCATGGGATTATCTGTTTTATTAGCAGAGGTGAGTTACTACTGATTTGCAGCAAATCAGTGGGGAAAGGGTCATTGTACAGATTTTATTCTCATGTGTAGCAAAGTTTTCTGAAAATGAAAGTTCTTCCCCTTTACCATTGCCAATTTTGCCCATTAAGTAAAAGAGTACTCTAAACTCTTCTGTGATAAAACTGAGTACATTAATGCAGTTAAAATACTCCAAACAAAAAGCAAGCAAAGGTAAAAAAATTTAAAAAGTCCTAATAACTTCTGGGTCAAAAATAATGATAAACACCTGCCTTTAACTAGAATAAATCAGCATTTATTTGGTTTAGAGGTAGTGTCTATTCAATGATTCCCTTTTAAGTTCTATCTGTATGTGACAAAGCACATCAAACTTCCAAGTAGAAAAACTACCACTAGTTTACATATCACATTTATCAAATTAAAGTTTTCTAAATATCCTTCATGAGATTGCAAAAAGCAACGTTTTCATTTCATAAATTCAACTTTCAAAAGTTCCACTGAATAAAATATCCTAAAAATACTTGTGCATCCTATCTAAATAATCAGATGTCTTTATTTTGCAATACAGTATTTTCTGTCCAAGAAATTTTTTAAAAGTCCGCAATTTGGCAAAACCTGATTCACCCAAGTTGAGTTCAACGAACTTTTTTTTTTAGTCCAAAGTAAACTCATTTTTAGTCTTTACAGCGCTATTCTCTAAAAAAAACAACGCATAAGAAACTTACTTTTTTCAAGTTTAAATGAGGCAACTTTCATGAAGATAAATAGTAATATTCTACTAACTATTTTTTTCCCTTTCTTTTCTGTTCTAAGTATTTACAGAGCATGGGAGTACACTAACTGGAGTCTGTCTTTGAAAGAGAAGGATCCGGGTCTGGGTAATTGATCTTGTGGGAAAGATTTAAGGTGACACTTGTAGTACTTTTTTTAAGGGATCAAGCAGGGGAGACCTCTTGTTTGTACAAGCATTTAGCTTCATAACTAGTTTTCAGCTGGAGAAAATTATAGCCTGCTTCCTTAGGGATGCCTTCTTGGCCAGGAGGAAAAGAAAACTAGAAGGGAACAGAAGGCAGTGACTGACGAAGGATCGAGTAACTAGGGGAGAAAGGGGTATACCTGGTTCACAGCAACCGTGATGATGGTGGTCAGTCTGACAGTATTTGTCCCTTAAAGGCATTTTCAGTGGGCGCGACCTACTTTCCTTTCACTGTGAGCACCTCTTCATCGCGGCTTGGCTGCTGAAAGAAGCACAACCCAGTCACTCCCCCTGAACTTCCTGGGGGCCTTTTCCAGATGAGTCCCCTTCACCCGCCCTCCGCCGTCCCTCCACCGACCCGCTCCTTCTCCTGGGACCGAAAAAAGTACACCGCACGAAGGCTCCTCCAGCCCGAACGCCCGCACAGGTTCATCACCCTACCCGGAAACGCAGCCTCCGGCGCGCAGCGCAAGACGCAGGCCTGGCCGGCTGCGCGGGCGGCGGCGGCCTCGCCGTCCCGAGCGGGCGCGCGCGGAGACGGAGGCGCGGGGCGCGGTGGCACGGCGGGCGCCGGGGCCCGCGGCGGCCGGGCGGGGGGCACGGCGGCAGGGCGGTCGAGGTGCGGCTCCCCCGCGGCCGGCCCACGGCCTCCCACCGCGCTTGGGCGTTGGGGTCTCCCCGGCGGAGCCCCTGTCCCCACAACCAAGTGCACCCAACTTACTTAACTCCGAGGGCGGGCCGGCGGGCAGGCGGAAGGAAGGAAGGCCGGCGGCCGCGGGGACAGCCTGGCGTGGGAGGCGGCTTCGGCCCCACCTGGCGCGGCCTCCGCGGACCACGCGAAGGGAACCGGGGCTCGGGCCCGACGCGCTTCCAAAGAGTCCCCGCCGGCGCCGACGCGGAAGCGCCACAGCTCACGACGTCCGTCCGCGGCCCGAGGCGACGGCGGCGGCGGCTCACGGCGTCCCTCCGCGCTGTGGAGCTGGCGGGCGGGCGGCGCGCGGGCGCAGACAGTTGACAGGAGGAACCGCCCCGCAGCAGCCGCCGCCGCCACCGAAGGAGCCGGAACCGGAGCGGGCAGGACCTGAGGAGCTCCTCACCGGGGCAACGGCTGCCGCCGAAGCCCGGCTCCCCCCGGCACCGCTCCACCTGCAACGGTCCCGCAGGCTTTTGGAGAGGGGCGGGGAAGAATAGGAGTCTCCCCCCACCTTGGGCCTTTTTTGGTGGTAGTAGTTGTTTCAGGAAACTTTATTTAAAGTCAGTCTCTCTCTTTCTCTGTCTTGCCCTCCCCGAAGAGCCTGGCTACCGCCGCGGAGCGGGTAAGAAGGGGGAAGCAGAGACTCTCCGGCAGCGACGGGGAGCGACTGACTGACCCCGGACGGAGATGGGGCGAGGGCAGGAAGTGACAAGCTCTCCGAGTGGGTGGGGGGGAGTGTGGCCGGCACGCCCGGGAGCGCCGCGCGCATGCGCCCGGCCCGGCGCCCCCGCCTGTGGGGAGGCGAAGCGCGGCGGCCGGCCGGGGAGGGACCCGTGGCGAGTGGCGCTGGGGCCGCGTGGCAGCCCGAGACTCGGACCGGCCATTCGCCCGCGCGTCCTCCCGCGGGCCGTCGGAGAGCCGAAGCCTGGGGCCGCGCGCGCGGAGAGGAGGGAGGCCTTGGCGCGGCTTTCGCACCCCGGAGATGGGCTGCTCGGGAACCAAACTTTCAAAGGAGAACCCGCGTTTCTCCTTTGAGTGGACCTGAAACTGAGGGAGGGTTGGGAAAGCTCGGGGAAGAACTGTTCGGAGAGGCTTGGCGAATGTGTGAGCCGCGAGAGGTGCCGACTCGGAAAAGGTGGTCAGCGCATTTACAGGTGGTAAACGTCGGACTCGCTCCCCAGTCATTTTCGCAGTGTGCCTCTCAGAACTTGGGGGTTTTTATCAGGTCCTTGGGAGTAAAACAATCTAATGGTGGAAGATCGGTATTGACTCCAGCAGTGTTTCGCTTTACAACCTGAAAGTGAAGTTGAGTCACGTGGGCAGTACGCACCCTTCCCTCCTCTTCCCTCTTCGGCGCCCGCATCCTGCTTGGAAAATCCCCGGAGATCGGAGATCGCTGTCGTCTGTCAAATTCTGCAAACCTGTGTTCTGGGGGACAGGAAAGCCACCTCCTCCACCTTCTGTCCAACTCCTGGAATGGAAATCTTCAAGAAGCAAATATGTGTCAGGAAATCTAAAGGGAGAAAAAGCCCCTTCACTTTGTTTATCCCCCGCCACCGAGATCCACTGAAAAAGCTTCGCTGTTGTCCAAGCTGGCAGTTTTCAGGGTTCTGAAAAAGCAAAGTTGAGACTCCGTGTGTACTTTAGAAGAGTAAATAAGTGGCTAAAATCCATTGTCAAAATTCAAAGGAAAGTTAGTAGTGGGACCGGTAATTGAGAAATTTGTTATAAAAATACTGAATGGAGTATTTGCGTATTTGCCTGCGTCTTTGTGGAGTTGTAGCAGCTTGATTGTAGGAGTGACAAGAGGATTGGAAAAAATGACTTTTTAAAAGGAATTCTATATACTGTACATTCTACACACACACCAACCAGTCACATGGCTAATACGTTTTATCGTTTTGTTTTGTTTTTTAATGTTTTTATTGATTTTGGAGAAAGAAACATCCACTGGCTTCAAGACCCCTACTGGGGATCCAGCCAGCAACCTGGCAGGTGCCCTGACCAAAAATGGAACCTGTGACCCTTTAGTGCATAGGACAACACTCAACGGAGCCACACCCACCAGGGCAATTTTTTTTTTTTTTTTCCTGTTCCATTGTCAAGAAGCATCACACATCAAACTAAATGTAGTGAAATGTCACAATTTATAAATCAATGTAAAATAATGAATTGTCCATATGAAGAGGTTTGCTATGCATCCAATAAAAATCACATTTTGTATAATATATAATTGTACACGATATGCTTAACTGATACCTTAACTGGAATGATACGTGATTTTTATTTAACATTGGAGATCTTTGTAACATTTGAAGTGAACTATTTTCTTCATTTTTGGAGGATTTTTCCTGCTTTTATTTAATAAGCATATTTATCACAAGTTAAAATTTTAATGTACAATTTTAACTTTCCATAAATATGAAAAGGCTTTGCTTCAGTTATGTCAGTTTTCAGTGTCTGCTAACCAGATATGAGTAAAAATGTTTAGTTTCCTGAGTAAATGTTTTTACTTTCAAAGTGATCCTGACTAGAGGGTCCTCAGATTGCTTGCTAATACAGTAAGTTTTCAACCATCTGAAAATTTAGACAAGATTGGAATGTGCTTGTGGGTAAAAATATATTGAACACCAAATCACAGAATTTTATTTTTTAGAGTAATTATTTATTTTAGACACAGTATTCATAGAAAAAAAAATTAGAGCTGTTAGCTGGGCACAAAGCACTAAGTCAGCCAAAGATAAAGACCACTTCCATGGTAGTGTTGCGGAGCAGTAGATGCTTGGGTTTTGGAGTTAAATAGATCTAGGGCTAAATACAGATTCCTCCTCTCACTGGTGATGTGATATTCTTTCTGGACCATGGCTTCCTCATCTGGAAAATGGGAATAATATTAGTTCCTCGTTTCTAGTTCCTGGACTTCAGTGATTTAGGAATCTAACTGGGAACACTCAGTCCATGGGACCATGCTCAATCCACTGAGCCACACCAGCCGGCAGTAAGCCTTACTTTATAGGTGAGAAAACCGAAACCCAGAGAGGTGAAGTGATTTGCCAAAGGTCACATAATAACCAGTCCTGGTCTAGGATGTAGATTATTCTCTTCTTAACATACCAATACTACTATCTGACATATATTAATATGTTTTAGGCTTATTTATTAACTCATTTAATCCCATCAACAATAATGTTTTGTTATCCTTCCATTCTACAGGTAGGGAAACTGAGACAAAGTAACTCATCAAGTTTACAGCTGATAAGCAGTTGAGCATGCATTTGAACCCAAGTAGTATGGCTCTGGAACTCATGAGCTTGGCCATTATGATATATTATGTGTACTATGTTGTCTACCCTATGCCGTAGCTATTTTTTTTCTTTATTGATTTTAGAGAGAGGGAGAGAGAGATTGAAACATCAGTGAGAGAGAACATAGATTGGCCACCTCCTGTGTGCCCCCCACTGGAGAATTGGCCCATAACCTAGGCATATGCCCCAACCAGGAATCAAACCAGTGACCTCTTGGTGCATGGATAGACACTCAACCACTGAGCCACACTGGCCAGGCTGCCATAGCTATTTTTTATCACACTGTATGGAAAGATGAGCCTGTAGATCCTGTCAATTGCAAAAGGTATTAAAATGCTATATGTACAGCCCTGGCCAGTTTGGCTCAGAGGTTAGAGCACTGGCCTGCGGACTGAAGAGTCTCTGGTTTGATTCCCAGTCATGGGCACGTACCTCAGTTGCAGGTTCAATCCCTGGCCCCCACTGGGGTCATGTGAAAGGCAACCAATCAATGTGTATCACATCAATGGTTCTCTCTCTCTCTCTCCTTTCCACTCTATCTAAAAATCAATGGGAAAATATCCCTAGGCAAGCATTTTAAAAATAATCATTATGTACATAAAATGCTATGTACAGCCCTGGCTGGGTGGCTTGGTTGGAGTGTGCCCAGTGCACCAAAAGGTGGCAGGTTCGATTTTCTGTCAGGACACGTACCTAGGTTTTAGGTTCAATCCCCCGTCAGGGCGCGTATGGGAGGCAACCGATCAATGTTTCTCTCACATTGATGTTTCTCTTTATCCTTTCCTTTTTCTCTAAAATCAGTTTTAAAAAAACACATTTAAAAATGCTGCGTACAAGTTCATTAAGTGAAATGAAGTTGCTAAAATCACAAGAATTTTATTGGAATTTCACAGGGCTTTAGAGTTAGTGACTTTGGCCATAATCTAGAATATTGCCCTATCTCTGAAAATGCTGAGCACAAAGCATCCCAGAAAATTCATCTGTCTTCCTGTCTCATTGTTCATTGCAGCAACCATTGTGACACATTACAGTGTTGAGGAACGTTTTGATCCTTAATAGTCTGGAAGTACATTCCAATGATTAACCTAAGATACTTTTTTTTAAAATGTTTTTTTTCTTTATTGATTTTAGAGAGGAAGGGAAAGGGAGAGAGAGATAGAAACATCGATGAGAGAGAACAATGATTGGCTGCCTCCTGCATGCCTCCCCACTGGGGATTTGGCCCACAACCTGGGCATGTGCCCTGACTGGGAATCAAACTAGCAACCTCTTGGTGCATGGATCGATGCTCAACCACTGAGCCACATTGCCTGGGCAACCTAAGACACTTTTACAGTTTAAAATTATTTCTTCCAAAAAAATTTAAAGTATTCTTTCATCTTCAAGGCAAGAGAATTCTAACACACACACACACACACTTTCTGTATAACAAATCACCCTAGAATTAGTGCCTTAAAGCTTTTTTATGGGCTCTCAATTCTATAGATCAGTGATTTGGACTGGCAGAGTTACGTGAATAACATGACTTCCACCACATTTTATTAGTCAAAATAAGTCAAAGACCAGCATAGATTTAAGAATTAGGAAGATAGATTCACCTTCTTGATAGGAAGAGCAGCAAAGTCATATTTCAAAGGGATATAGGCATATAAGAATGGGAAGAACTGTTGTGATCTTTGCATACAACTTATAGTATATAATTATTTCAAGAATGATACTAGCTAATTAAAGCTTCTGATTTTTTTTAATGCTTAATGGTGCTCTTAAGAACATCAAAACAAGGAAACACTAGTCAAATTTATTCTT